TAATGTATTCCTGGGATTTGTAGTCCTCTATAACTGATGGTATTCTGCATTGCTGTATAATGTATTGCTGGGATTTGTAGTCCTCTATAACTGATGGTATTCTGCATTGCTGTATAATGTATTGCTGGGATTTGTAGTCCTCTATAACTGATGGTATTCTGCATTGCTGTATAATGTATAGCTGGGGTTGGTAGTCCTCTATATACAATGACAGAACCACCAGGGTCACAGCAGTTGCAGCTGTGACGGGGCTCTAGCATTTCGCCACTTGGGGGGCCCTGGTAAATGCCGACATTACAGGTTACCAGACCCCCTTCAATCTGTCTGTGGCCCTTCATCCTTCAGACTGCATAGATCATGTGTGTCATGATTGAACTATGGTTTGATTTGGGGGGCAAAGAAAGACTTGCCCCCAGGCACCTCGTGACCTGGCTACGCCTCTGGGGGGAGGCTCCATTACCGGATGAACAAGCCAGCTCGGTGGTTCAAGTGAGTATAACTATTCTCTTTTTAACCTAGACAAAAAGGAGCAGTTAACCCTTACAATGCGGGGGTAGACCTAGTGCAAGGGTTAATAAAAGTTTTGCCTGGAGTTCTTCTTTGAAGTGAAACATTGGCATTGCACAATATCTTTAAATAACATGCCTAATGAATGCCTTAAACTGAATTGAAGCCACATTTTTTTTTAGTTTTGAAACGTGTCAGTGGCGGAACTACCAGGGTCGCAGAGGTCGCGGCTGCGACCAGGCCCTGGAGTTCCACCATTTGGAGTGGGCCTAGGACAGGAGGAAGGGCCTGATTACCAGGACATTTAAAGGAGAACTATGGGGTTAAGGCTTTTCCCCATAGTTCTCCATAGGGTAACGGGAGGACACAAACTAGAGTCCTCCCGTCACCCTAGGCTCAGTATACCCTGAGCTGTAGCTCGGGGTATACTGAGACGCCGCAGTATACCGCCGGCAGCTGCTCGCGGTATACTGAGCCGCCGCAGCTGAAGCGGATCCCGACAATTGTACCGAGATCCGCCCAGCTGCGTGACTGACAGCTGGCTCTGCCTATCTAGAGGCAGAGCCAGCTGTACCCGCCCCCTCCCCCGTCCATTCCGCCAGTCAGTGCTGGCGGATCGGAGGGGGGAATCCAGCCCC